CCGCCGCCCGGGGCGGACGACGGCCCCGCGCCGTGCGCGCGCTCCGCCTTCTTCGCAGCCGCCATCGCAGCCGCAGCCGCCGCCGCCACGCGCGCCGGCAGCGACGGGCTCGGCAGCACCGCCTGCACCGCACACACACGGTTCACTCACTCTGTGCACTCTTATGCTTATTACGGGCATTAGGCCTACGTACAGCAGACGACACTCCTGATACAAGTTTCTAAACCATGCGTTACCAGACTTTCTTTACTAAGCACCTCCTTTACTTGTAATATCGGCCGTGTGTCGTTCAATACTTCTCGTTTGACCATTTTTATAAAGAAAAATAATATCAGTAAGAAATACATTTTCTTTGAATATGTGTTCTTAACCGTTAACAATAACCACAACTCTTAGTTTCGATAATTCTTAAAGGACGGCGGACCGTAAAAGATGTAACGGACGCCGCTCGTTCAGATTTGCTACTGGTTCCTTTGTTTGAAGTCGATAAAGCAGAATAGTAATACGAGAACTTATTAACGTCATTGGGCTGACCAACAAAAAAGGGCAGATCGAGTGTATGTCAGGAAATAGACGCGCTAGCCGAGATCTGTAACTAATTACATCCGTGTTTGTAATATCGGCCGCGTGTTGTACAATACCACCTTGATATTGAAGAAAAAATCTAAATAATTAATAACCTTTTTTTCGAATAGACGCTCTCCTCTGCTACATCTCATTTCTTACGATTGTTTTTATCGTGCGGAGGACTCTTGAAATTCTCGAGTGGTTTTTTTGCTCTATTTGGGTCCATTAAGTGGATCAAACAGTACAGTATTATGAAAAATAATGTAATGATGAGCAAAGGCACTTAACAGCCGGCCTCTGTTCACTTTTCATTATTGTTACTTTTTGAGCTTCGAAAGAGAACAACTACTTCTGTAGAAGCAAAAGAGTACGATCAATATTTCAAAATAACACTAATAACTGAGACAATAAAAGCGTGAGCCGAATCACTCATACATTCTACTAATAAATTGGGACAAATTTCTAATTTGTGATTGTCTTTTTTACAATTCGTTTTTTTACATAACAATTCTACACGAAAAGCGAAAATTTTAAAAGACTGCTTTTACTTCAAAGCAATCGTATTATTTCAAGACGTTATATTTATTTCTCCGAATACATCGATTAGCAAGGGTAGATATAGGACTCTAAATTCCTGAGAAAATGTCTTGGAAACATTTTAAATTTGGTTTTCTACGTGTTCCAAACATGGTCTGATTAGAGGCAAATACACTACAGTTAATTATTGCTGGAAAGTGCATAAATGCAAGTAGACGTCGTTTAAACAAGCTCCTTGACGAGGTGATCGCGCGCGCACTTGCCGAGCGGGGCAACCTCCGGGCCGGGCCGGTGCCGGGGCGAGAGAGCCTTAAAGCTCCCGCGGGCATTGTTTCTGTAGCGCGCGAGGAGCGCTCTCTTCAAAGGGCGGCCGGGGCCCCGAACAGCTGGCCATTAAGGCAGGCACGCGCGGCGCCGCGCCGCTCCGCTCCACTCCGCAACGCGCTGGCTTCCGCGCTGGCTTCCGCCCCGGCGGGAAGGCAGCGGGAGGGGCCGGCGCATGATTCATTCATAGGAGCCCGCGCTTTCAAAGGGCCACGGCTAGGTCGCCCGGAGGCGAGGCAAGGCGGTTTCCTGGGGGGAGGAAAAAAGGAGAGGAAAAAGAAGTCAAGGGGGAAAGAAAAAATGAAGGGAAGGGAGAGGAGGGGAGGGGAAAACGAGAGAGTGAGTGAGTGAGAGAGAGAAGGAGAAAATGAGGAGAAAAAGGAGATAAATGAAGGGGAGGGAAATATGAAGGACAGTAGAGAAAATGAGAGAGGGTTGGAAGAGGAAAAAATAAAGACGATGGGATAACTGGAGGGACGATGCTCTTGGGAGAAGTAGTTTAAAGACGGCAAGAGAGAGGAGAAATGCAGCTGCCTACGCCACCGTACTCGATGTAAGAAAAACACAAAAATAATGACGTAGCTTCGATCAAGAAGAGACAATGTCAATATTAAAAGTTTTACAGAATGAGTGCTTTTCTTACACCATCAAGTGTACAGATCGATATTGAAATCAAGAGATAACATCGTCTTTTTAAGTGGCGTTTCCTGCACCGAATGAATGATCTTTAATGCACACTCACACAACGAAAATAAATAAAAACAGCAGCAGTGGCGTCCTTCCTGCACTAAGTCACAGAATTATGCTCAATAGTATGGACAAAATGTATTCACATTCACGTGTAATATCAAAAATATTCTATTTTGAATGTAACAATAGTTTGATCAAAAGATTTTTTCTTTAATCTCTCTCCTTCGAATCTTTCCTTTAAAATATCGTTCTCCCGGGGACTCCATGATACACTACGAAATACTTTGTACCAATTAGATAGTGAAAATGAAGAAAAGTGAAAACAGTGAAGTGTAGTGAAAACTATATCAATATTAACCGACAGATTGTAGTATCAGCCAAATTACGACAATTCATTAGTTAGTACGTAATGAATACCAGTTTAATATGTGAAATTTATGCATTTGTATATATGTACTCATCCATACTCCACGGCCACAAAAATGTGCAGAACTTCCCAGGGAAACCAGGAGGCCCAACTCTTAATGAATTGTAACGGGCTCATGATAATAATAATAATAATAATAATAATAATATAGTAACATCATTGTCCCGGATAATCTAGAATATTCGGTTCTAGGAATGTTTACACTTAAACATTTAAGAGTGTATCACCTATTTATACTAACAGTAATATTCAAACATTTAAAAATACATGTAATGAGTACGAGGAAAAAATCGAAAACATTCATATTCATTATCACTTTTAAATGAGTTTGTCTTTGACGACCA